ATACATCGTCGCCTGGTCAACGAAGCTGGCGGTGTATCTGAGGATATGGAAATGGTATGCCATTTCCACGTACCTGCACTGCTATCCTGGGCAACAGAAGCAAATGGTTCTCGGCGGACTTGTGTTCCTTTCCTTTTGTTGCCCCTTTTCTACTCTAATGGGGCGACTCGCAAGTCTCGCCTCCTAGCTACAAATTGGAATCTTCACGTCCTTTTCTAGCTATGTTCTACCCTATTTGAAGCGATTCCTTTGGTCTCGCTTCCAGATGGAACTTACCCCATTACGCACGGCCGTAATTAGGTACCGCTAAGTATTCAGTAACTAAGATGTTTTTCGAAACACTTTGTTAAAACACCTTCAACTCCGCGGACTCAGCCACCTTTCCGCTGCAGCATTCCTTTCCCTGTGGATTCTGGCACTGGATGAACCCTTGTCTAAGACTTAGGAAGGGAGGATGCATTTCGGATGATTGCGCGCGTCCAGTTGGTCAAGGCTAGGATGAAGCCAGGATGATTCCTGGATGATTTGATTAAGTTGATGGTGCAATTCCAGGACGCTGTTTGGATGTTTCCTGGATGATACCTATGATGACCCCAGGATGGGTGGGATGATAAAATATCTTTTCTATGATTTCCAATGCCTGGCTGGCAAGAGCACTCATAAGTCTAGGTCTGACTCGCTGCGTTTTCCCACCTGGGCGCACAGTGTGATCCTCTCGCAAGAGAGGCCGAAGCCATTGTGAATCACATATCGATTTAGCGCTTCTGCATTCTTGGATTATGGTTTTGGATCCCCTTTGTTTAACCCATGAATCAACTCAACCATACGCCGCCGGGCTTATGGAGAATGAACCCCAACCCCACCCCTCCCCTCTTTCCTTCTTGCGGCTTCTTCGTTTGTTAGGTGTTTCTTCAGGCTTGTTAGGTTGTTCTCGAGGCTCGTTTCCCTGCCCCTCGGTTTCGCACGTTGAACCTTTTTTACTACTTATCGTTTGCTCTTTCTGTCCTTCTTTTCTAAGGCGTGTTAGGTGGCTATTCAAGCTTTGCGTCGCAGAGGTTGGTTGGTGGAGGGACGCCGAAGGCCAGATTCGCACAAGTGTCAAGAAAAGTATGAATATATAAATGTTTCAGACGTTTCAGCTGATGAAATCGAACTAGGAAGTTTGCTGCCTCTACAAGTACTTCCCGGGCAAGCCGGCGGCGGAAGTTTCCAAAAGAATAAACCTATAGGAAATGGGCATGTGGCAGGCTGATTCGCCGGGCTGCGATGTTCTTTGACAAAACAAGTTGGAACCGACCAATGGAGCGAAAGCGAAGCAACCACCATCAACTGTCTCGCTCTCCACTAAAGCCAGAGCATAGCTCTATCTCTAGCTCCACTAAACCTAACTGGAGCTAGACGTTAACTATGATGTGATAGCTTGTCTAGACACGAAGCTAATAAGCTCAAATTTGTCAACCTCTCAAAACACGTGTTTTGAGGTCTCCAGAAAGTAATCGAAATGACCACTTTGAGTAAGCAAAGTAGCTAAAATTTGTCTACCTCTCAAGAGAGCCGGGTGGTCGGGAGACATGACTCGGCTGCAGGGGTGCCAGATGACTCAGCCGCTTACTAAAGTTGCACTACAGAGTCGCCAGTCCCCAGATTGCTCCGCGCACTAAAGTTGTCCTACAAAGTCGCCAGTTCTCATCTTCCAGCTCCCCCAGCTCCCCAGATACTCCGCGCACCAAAGTTGTACTACAAAGTCGCCAGTTCTCAGCTTCCAGCTCCCCGGATACTCCGCGTACTCAAGTTGTACTACAAAGTCGCCAGTTCTCAGCTTCCAGCTCTCCAGATTGCTCTGCGCACTAAAGTTGTACTACAAAGTCGCCAGTTCTCAGCTTCCAGCTCCACAGATTGCTCCGCGTACTAAAGTTGTACTAGAAAGTCGCCAGTTCTCATCTTCCAGCTCCCCAGATACTCCGCGCGCCAAAGTTGTACTACAAAGTCGCCAGTTCTCAGCTTCCAGCTGCCCAGATGGCTCCGCGTACTACAGTTGCACTGCAAAGTGGCCAGTTCTCATCTTCCAGCTCCCCAGATACTATCCGCGTACTAAAGTTGTACTACAAAGTCGCCAGCTCTGCTTCCAGCTCCACAGATTGCTCCGCGTACTAAAGTAGCACTGCAAACTCGCCAGTTCTCATCTTCCAGCTCCCCAGATACTCCGCGCACTAAAGTTGTCCTACAAAGTCGCCAGTTCTCATCTTCC